TGCGTCGGCTGCGAACGCTCGGCCGGCCGGCGATCATCGACGGTCGGCCGAGTGAACCAGCGAGCCAGTGAGTGAGCCAGCGAGTGAGTGAGTGAGCCAGTGAGCCAGCGAGTGAGCGAGTGAGTGAGTGAGCCAGTGAGCCAGCGAGTGAGCCAGTGAGCCAGCGAGTGAGCGAGCGAATCAGCGAGTGAGTGAGGACGCTTCAGCGGCCGTCCGGAAACGGCTTCTTCCTCCTTCTTCCGCCATTGGGAAGCGGCTGGGAGCTGCGCGCTATTAAATCATCACCGCGATAGAGAACTCGTGTCTTTAGACTCGATTGGCGTGTTTAGTGTTGGCGTCCTCCATCCACGCCCCCCCCCCCCGAACCTTTGCACCTCCGATTAGCACGTTTTGCTACGTACGGTGCGAAAGAAGATCAACGCACAGACAAGCACGGCGGACTACATCTATCATACTGCGGTTGAGAGGAGGGCAAGACGCACCCCCCGGTGGCCAATCGGCGCGGTGGTTCGCAGTTCGACTCAGGCGGGCCGCCCCGGTTATTACTGCCGCGTGCGTGCGCGTGGTGACCCTGGTGCGGGCGGGGAGCGGCAGCGTAGTCGCGGGTAACGCCGCGCTGCGCTACGAACCCGGCCACCCGAGTTCGACACCCGCTCACGGCCACCAACATCGGTGATAGAGATTGTCTGAACTGGTTCTGGGTCTCCCCTAGGTCGACTCAGCCTCAAATGAGAACATGGTGCAGGAACGGTTCAGATAATCGCCGGGTTCGTAGCGCAGCGCAGTACGTCAACAGCGACACGACCGCTCACACACATCACCAACACACACCACACACACACACACACACACACACACACATCACACACACACACCACACACACATCACACACACACACCACACACACACAGCACACACACACCACACACATACACCACACACACACCACACACACACACACCACACACATCACACACACATCACACACACACACCACACACACACATCACATATCACACACACACCACACACACACCACACACACACACACCACACACACACCACACACATCACACACCCCACACACAGACACACCACACACACCACACACACACACATCACACACACCACACACACACCACACCACACACACACCACACACACACTACGCACACACACCACACACACACATCACACACACACACACCACACACATCACACACACATCACACACACACCACACACACACATCACACACATCACACACACACACACCACACACACACCACACACATCACACACACCACACACAGACACACCACACACACCACACACACACACATCACACACACCACACACATACACCACACACACACACCACACACACCACACACACACACATCACCATCACACACACCACACACACACCACACACACACACCACACACACCACACACACACCACACACACAAATAATCCACATTCCTCTTGGTCCAGCAGAGAGAGAGAGACAATTACGGGAAGCGGCCCTCACACCACGTACACGCGCTACAGGCAACATCAAAGCCGCGGATCTTTGATGCTCGTTCAGCCGTCCAGCCCGTCCTTGATCATCGCAAGAGCCGGGGGGGGGGGGGGGAGTAAACCCACAGCGAGGCAGTTCCAAAGAAATGCGGTTCCCATCGAGATGATTTCAAAGTGCATTGCCGCAGTGGCTTGGATGTTTGGATGTTTGGATGCTTGGCCAATTTCCGACCATGGCTGCTGATGATGACGATGATGACAAATCCGACGATTGAACAGCTGCACGTGGACTGGCAGGATGGAGGTGGGCGGGTGGGCAAGTGAGAGCCACGTGGCTTCGTGTCCCGCTCTCCTCCCGAGCCCCGCTCGGGGTGCGTGCACGTGGTTTTAGGCGCGTGGGGCGATCGTCACGAAGGGAGGCGCTGCTGCTGCTGCTGTGATCACAAATTTAGTCAAATCCGTGAGGGTGACGCCGCCGCACCGGCGGTGACCTCCTGTGAGCGCGTGATGGTGAAGTGTGATGTTTGTGATGTGTGTGTGGGTGATGGTGATGATGTTGGGGACATTGATGTTGGTGATGGTGGTAACGTGTGTGTGATGGTGACGCGTGATGTTGCTAATGATGTTGGTGATGGTGATGATGTTGGTGATGATGTTGGTGATGATGGTGATGATGTTTGTGATGGTGGTGGTCACAGATTGTTGCTGCTGCTGCTGCTGCTGCAGACGAGCAGCCGAAGGGAATTCGTTGGAAGCGACGGGGAGCACTTCGATGAGCGGCGATCCTCGCGATGTCAGGTAAGGGAGCGAGCTCACTCGTCGCCATTCATTCACCGATGAGCCCATTCACTCATTCACTCATTCACTCACCCCGCTCACCGTCCGCTCGCCAACCGTGGGGTTCTCTGCGCTGTCCACGGCCCCGGAGGGGGGGGGAGGAGGTTTTTTATGACGTTGGTCGCGAAATCTTTCGTGTTAAACAAACAAAATCATCGTTCGAAAAGCGACTTCCTGGCGCTCGCCCGCAAGTCCTGGGGTCGAGAGCACGAACCCACCGTCTTCCCCTGCACGGTATCCACGCCGCAGCCTGTGCACCCCCCCCCTCCCCCCCACCTCCTCCACCACCACATGCACCTGCGCCAGCGCCGACTGGAACGCGCGTGTCCGCAGGCAACTTGACCGCGACTCTGCTCAACACCACGATGCTCCTCGTCCAAGTCACCTACGTCGGTGACTTCACGTGCTACCACAAGAAGGTGAGGGTCCCTCCCCGTGCGGGCAGCCTCGTCGCGCGCGCACGCACACAAAGACAAAGACGTCCCGTGTAGCCTTAACAGACTCTTGGGGCAAGTGCTGTTAGCGAGTAGCACGTAGGAAGGCCGGCACGGCGCACGAGGGGGGGGGTGGGTGGCCAGCACCACGCCCGCCGGCGGCCGCCTTTGTCTCTCTAGTGGCGACGTTTTTTTCACATCGCACCAGGTACTCGTTTGAGGCGAAGCCGACCTAGGGACAGGGCCCAGATAATTGGTCAGTGGGTGTTGGTGGCGCATTATCGGGAATCGAACTTGGGTCGCCGGATTCGCAGTGCCGGCGTGGCGAGCCGCTACGCCGCACGTACGAGCCCTCCTCCTGCAAAGGCAAACAACAAAAAAACATGAAATACGGAGACTCCTCTACTTACGAACATTCAACTCACGAACTTGTACGTGCATCCAGTTGCCTGTTCCGACCGAGTTTGTAAGTTCAACCGCCGCGGATTAGATGGCGGTGGTGGCATCTACATCTGCAGAACGTGAAGAACCAGTGACATCTACATCTGAAGAATATGAAGAACCAGTGGCATCTACATCCGCAGAACGTGAAGAACCAGTGGCATCTATATCTACAGGAGATTATACAACTTTTAAAGCCATTCCCCGTGTTGAGTGTACACGCCGTAGAATGTGTTTGGAATCGACAGGAGTAAAGTGGTTCCTACGATAGAATAGACGTACGAACAGACCTCTGGAAACCAACTCGTTCGTAGGTAGAGACGTCCCTGTAGAGTCAGGAGAATCGGCGACGGCGGCGGGCACAGCGAGCGTCAGTTAGCCGACGAGGAGCGGCGACGCCTCCACCGAATTGAGCGCTGCTGCTGCTAATGCAGCATTTGTCGTTCCAGCCGGGCGTCGCCTCCAGCGAGTACTGCAGGCTCATCTGCTCCAACATGGCGAGGGACGCGCTGGCGACCGGCTTCCGCGGCAGCTTCGCGCTCGACATCTCCCGCGTTGTCAATCTGTCGGAGGTCTTCTGCATGGTGAGCTCGGGACGCCGTCGGGAAAGCCCGCGGCGCTAAGCGGCGCTAAGCGGCAGCAGCGGGACGGGGCGGCTTTTCATGGTCGCTCTTTCGTAATGGAGAGGGGTGAATTGATTTTTGTTGCTGCTGCTGCTGCTCTAAGTTTTGATGGGCTCGATTGCGCACAACATAAAACGCGCCGTCAACACACCACGCCACCGACCCGACGTAGCGGGACTTGTTTTGTTGTTGTTGTTGTTGAGTACACAAAACGTGCCAATCAGTGACTCGTTCAGCACTCACCCGTTACATCCACACGACCTAACCCCACACGACTTAACCCCAAACAAACCAATTTAACCAACAATTAACGGGGGCACTTTTGGCATCACATTCTGCCCTCCTGTACCGCGTGGTTTTCATAACGTGAATTGGATACAGGACGCGAGGAATGTGTTACGGAACACATTTCTTATAACGCGGATGCCAATTGGGATATAACGCGATCGAGTGATCGGAGCTGTCGCGCACGAGGTAGGAGCGAGCGGTCGTACGGCTGACGCAGCGTAGCGTCACCGCACGAGGCGGGATGCTGCTGGATGTTTCTAGACGCTACCCACGCGCCTTGCGTACGCGTCTCGCGTGTCATTGCGGACGGTGCTTTAACCCCCCTATGTTATATATCGTTTATTATAACGCGATTTTTCCATCACGCGGTGTGTCTTCATGAACGCGACTACTACCGCGTTATAGGAGAACAGGCTGTACATTGGGACGCGTTCGGTAGCAACATCGCAATGTCACGCACGGGGACAGCTGCCACCGATGCCCCCCCCCCCCCATCAGTGGCAGCTGTTGGTTAGTACACGGCAAGGCCGTGTACAAGGTCCTAACAGAAGCCACGCATGACCATGATTTTGTTCTCCCTCGGTTCATCGCTTTCTTTCAGATCGATGGCGGCAAAGAAACATATTTGAGTGAGTAGATGTTTTGTTTTCTAACCGCTTGCTTCCGATTCACGAGGCTCACAGTCGTCGTGGTCGTCGTCGTAGTCGTCGTTAATCCACTGCTGGATGTAGGCCGCCCAAAGGCATCGCCGCTTCTGCCCGTGACGCATCCTGCCCTCGCCCGCTGGCTTTCCTTACCCGTTGGTGTGAAGATGGAGCCTCTGACCTGCATGCGGTTTCTAGGCCCCGCGGTCTCTAGCCGCTGCTGCCACTCTGGAGTTGAAGTGAATCTGCGCTCCCAGCGCCAGCCGCTGATGGCTCGCGTTAGCAGTGGTGCTGGTAGTTGCAGTAGTAACGACGACGACGATAGTGGTGATGGTGCTAGTGACCTCCATTTTATTAAAGCGCCTTTCATGTTGAAAGCATCCCAGGGCGCTGGACGTATAGATACATTCTAACCAAAATAAAAAGCTGATAAGAACAATACCAATGACCGCTGCTCTCGAAATTCCAATAAAACGAGGAACTATGATAAAACCGATTTATCATTATTACAGAGTAATCCAATCAGACAATGGAATCGTTGTTTTTTAAGTCTTCACTTATAAAAAAGGCCTGTACAGGACAAATAAGTCCGTTTTAAGACAATGATTTAAAAAGTGAGGAAGGGGACTCCACGTTTGCGGGGTCTGGCTGCAGAAAGCTGCGCATCTCCCCACATCAACAACAACAAGCACATCAACAACAATCACATCAACAACAACCACATCAACAACAACAAGCACAGCACCAGCACGGCCTTGTGGTGCTCAGATATCAACAACCTCGACACGTTCTTCAATAACACCGTGCGTGTGGCCTTAGCGCCGCGCCGCGAACCCGGCGGCCCGAGTTCGATTCCTGCTCACGGCCACTAACACCGGCGGCGATTATCTGAACCGGTCCTGGGCCTCCGCTAGGTCGACTCAGCCTCAAATGAGTACCCGGTGCAGTATGGTAAACATCGCCACTGGGGAGACAAAGGCGGCCGGTTGTGGTGCTGGCCACCCACCCCCTCATGTGCCGTGTCGGCGTTCATGGGTGCTACTCGCTAACAGCACTTGCCCCAACAGTATGTGGTACACGGGGGATCTTTGTCTTTGTGGCCTTAAAAGGATAAAATATATCAATACTAGCAAAAGTACCCGGCGTTGCCCGGGTTTTAAAAGTATTTCAAAACTACTCTAAATAATGTAACTGCAGTGCGTACTGACTGTGGTGGTACCTGCTTTCACTGCAGCAGTGCATACTGTGGTGGTACCTGCTATGATTATAGCAGTACATGCTGACTCTATAGCAGTATTTATGGACTGTATAGCACAAAGTACTCACCTGTCAGAGTGGCGTGGTGAGGCCTAGTCCCGTGCAGAGCCTCCGGCCTCGCCTAGATTGCCCACCCGGCTGAGGCTGGGTACTGGGGCCGTTAACCCCCACCACCCCCCCGCGCTACAATAATACTGTGTAATCGCTATAATTTTATTATCTACCGACCCTATAATAGTAATTGCACACATTGGGGTGGGGGGGGGAGTGAAGAGGACGTGAAACTTTGATGAATTTACCTCAGAGTCGCGTGTTAATGCGTGCGCATATTTTTAACGGGAATTAAAAATGGCGTCCACCCCGCAGCGAATGCGTCGCTACCCGTTGCCAGGGGCAACCGCCGTGGAAAACCAAACGGACCAATCGCGTCTCGCAAATCCCTCACATTTCGTCCAATGAAACTGCGTATGGTCCGGCAACACACAGACAAACAGACACACACACAGACACACACACAGACAGACAGACAAACAGACAGACAGATTTGCGATTTTATATATATAGATAATGGGCGACGTGTTGAGCAATGGCCCTTCTTCATGGCACCTCGAGAGGCCACTAGAGAGACAGCGTTTGATGATGAGAGTTGGAGACCTCACGTTCTCACACTGTAGGGCCTGATGGGAATTGCGTTTGAAATGATTCCTGATGACCCAGATTTTAAATCAGGCATAGGACAGTCGCTGTTGAGTGATAGACAACAAACCCCTTCAGTAATAACAAAGTATGATGACTCAACAATGACAGACTCGTTTGGAGTAGAAGTGACATTGCCAAGTGTCGCTGGCACACTGCATTGTGGGCCACCCACGACCGCTTCGTTGAGCTATAATTTGTGATGACCAGCTCGCTCCTGAAAGAAAAGGCGACGTAGCGCAGTGGGCTTCACCTGGTAAGATTCAACAAGAAAGTTTAGTTTTATTTGCATGTTTTTTCAAAGTGATTTATTTACCTTTCCTATACTTTGCACTGCTACCCTGTTGTTTGTGTCGTGTTTGTTGTTGTAACGTTCTGACCCCGTGCCCCGACTGGACATCTGTGAAAGAAGAGCTTCATAGCTCATCAGATTCCTCCTGCGGTGTCAATACTGATTCTGATTCTGAATTCATGGGCGGTGGTCACGCGTTTCTGCGCCACTTGCAACGGGCGACGTCACAACAACAACGACCGTCGTTCATGACTACGTGGCGGCGACGTTACCACGGCGCTTGTGCCAGGCTAGGTGCCTGATGGCGCGCCCATTCCCGTGCCCGTGCCCGCTAACCGCGTGCTCTGTTCCCCACGCAGACACGGTGCCCCTGGCCACGCCACCGCCGCGAGCGCAAGGTGAGAGCCGCGCTCTGCACGCTTCCCCAAACTAGACTGAACAGCGAAGAGGGCTCTTCATCACGTGGGGGTTTTTTAGGAGCAGCCAAACACTCTGGACCAGTGGTTCTTAATCTGGGGTGCACGCACCCATTGGGGTGCGAGATGCCATTTGATGCCCCTTCTGAGAACCAAAGCGGTGCAGGCAGCAGTAATGGTGAAGGACCACTGCTCTGAACACGTGATGTTGATTCTAAATGTGGAGGGAAAACTCCGAGGACCCGGAGAAAAATTCACACGACCGCAGAGAGAGAGAGACAGACATGCAGATTCCAAATATATCCAGCAGGCATCAGGGTCGGGATCGAACCCACGACCTCCTGCATACCAGGCGAAGGTAGTTATCACTGCGGCGGCCAAAAAACGAATCGAAGCTCCGCCCAGTAGCTGCCACTGCGTTGGCAGTGGCGCACGAAAATTATGATAGTTGACGTTTCAGGCAATGCCCCTGCTTCACGCGTAAATAGAGAAGCTGTAGAGGTGGAGCGCATGGGGCCTGGTGAGAATAGGAATAGCCGTAGGAATAGTCACACTAGTAGTGGCTATTGAGTAACAAACCCTTCGATAATCGACAAAGATGACTAAAACAATGAAAAATAACAACCTTGTTTGGCGCGAAAGTAATATTACAAACTGTTGCTGGCACATTGCGTTGAGGGCTACCCATAATGCAAGTCGCCAGAAAAGCAACACTTTAGAATGTTTGTTGTGTCTTGTGCGAAGTCACCCTCGTCGGTGGCTGACGAGTTTGCGACTCAATGCTGACCACGCCCCCCCCACCCCCCACCCCCACACACAGAGCACAGCACCCTGGTCACCTCGCCGCCGCTAACCAGGAGTACGTCCGCCGCACGCCGGGTGGACGCGACGCAAGCTCCCTCGCACCCCACTGCTACCGTCGCGAGATGGAATCGAACCGGGGCCATCTGCTGCGGCGTCATGGCGATCACCTCGGTGGCGTCGATGATGCACGTGACGTCATGGCGACCAGCTCAATGGACGTCGATGATGCACGTGGCGTCACGGCGACCAGCTCAATGGACGTCGATGATGCACGTGGCGTCACGGCGACCAGCTCAGTGGGCGTCGATGATGCACGTGGCGTCATGGCGACCAGCTCAATGGGCGTCGATGATGCACGTGACGTCATGGCGACCAGCTCAGTGGGCGTCGATTATGCACGTGACGTCATGGCGACCAGCTCAATGGGCGTCGATGATGCACGTGGCGTCATGGCGACCAGCTCAATGGGCGTCGATGATGCACGTGGCGTCACGGCGACCAGCTCAGTGGGCGTCGATGATGCACGTGACGTCATGGCGACCAGCTCAGTGGGCGTCGATGATGCACGTGACGTCATGGCGACCAGCTCAATGGACGTCGATGATGCACGTGACGTCATGGCGACCAGCTCAGTGGGCGTCATGGCGACCAGCTCAATGGGCGTCGATGATGCACGTGACGTCATGGCGACCAGCTCAGTGGGCGTCGATGATGCACGTGACGTCATGGCGACCAGCTCAGTGGGCGTCGATGATGCACGTGACGTCATGGCGACCAGCTCAGTGGGCGTCGATGATGCACGTGACGTCATGGCGACCAGCTCAGTGGGCGTCGATGATGCACGTGACGTCATGGCGACCAGCTCAATGGGCGTCGATGATGCACGTGACGTCATGGCGACCAGCTCAATGGGCGTCGATGATGCACGTGGCGTCACGGCGACCAGCTCAGTGGGCGTCGATGATGCACGTGACGTCATGGCGACCAGCTCAATGGGCGTCGATGATGCACGTGACGTCATGGCGACCAGCTCAGTGGGCGTCGATGATGCACGTGGCGTCACGGCGACCAGCTCAGTGGGCGTCGATGATGCACGTGACGTCATGGCGACCAGCTCAATGGGCGTCGATGATGCACGTGACGTCATGGCGACCAGCTCAATGGGCGTCGATGATGCACGTGACGTCACGGCGACCAGCTCAGTGGGCGTCGATGATGCACGTGACGTCATGGCGACCAGCTCAGTGGGCGTCGATGATGCACGTGACGTCACGGCGACCAGCTCAATGGGCGTCGATGATGCACGTGACGTCATGGCGACCAGCTCAATGGGCGTCGATGATGCATGCGGCGTCATGGCGACCAGCTCAATGGGCGTCGATGATGCACGTGACGTCATGGCGACCAGCTCAATGGGCGTCGATGATGCACGTGACGTCATGGCGACCAGCTCAATGGGCGTCGATGATGCACGTGACGTCATGGCGACCAGCTCAATGGGCGTCGATGATGCACGTGGCGTCATGGCGACCAGCTCAATGGGCGTCGATGATGCACGCGGCGCCATCGTTACATTCCATCGCTCATTCGATCCCATCTTGCGGCGTGGCAGCTGAAAACGATGTTTAAAATACATCGTCCGCTATGCCACCGCTCCTCACTCAACAATTACAGACGCACTCACATGCTTGTGAATTAATTTTTACTAAACTATGTTATATTTTACCAGGTAAGGCCCACTGAGCTATATAGCTCTTTTTCAGAAGAGACCTGGCCACAAGTGACAGTGCAACGAAGTGGCTTATTTCATGTGGACATTTATAGCAGCCAAATACTCTAAATGCACATTGAATCTAGATGTGAAGGGAAAAACCAGGGGACCCGGAAAAAACGTCCACGTGACCACAGGGAAAACACGCAAACTCCAAATTTACAGGTGTCAGGCTCAGGATTGAACTCACGACCTCCTGCATACCAGGCGAGGGAGTTAACATCTCGCCACTGTGGCACACTATAACCGCACATAAAGCCACACTCACATTACTTAATAAATAAAAACATTAATAACATAAACATGCAACTTACCTCGGCCGCAGCCCGGCCGAATGCATGGGGCGTTGACGTCACGGCGGCCATCTTGCACGCGGATTTGTTTTGCTGGCAGCCGATTGGCTGGCGTTGGCCCGAGCCGTGACGTCTATCCCTAGCAACCACTGAGGTGCGTCCACACGCAGACATGCGCGCCGTGTCGCGCTGCCGCTGCCCTTCGTGGCCTCCGCGGTTTCACTCACACGCCGCGTTTCTCCACGCAGGCGCCTGGACCGGGGAGAACACTGCAACATCGCTGCTGTTGCCTATCTGTGGCCTTCTCTGCCTGCTGGGGGCGATCTACTGGTGAGTGAGTGAGTTAGAGCGCGCCACACAGAATGGCATGCGATCTATTTTCCTACAAAGGCGGTCGTGGTTGAGTTCCCGAGAACACCGCATTAAGGAGACATCGCGTGATAATAAAGTGTGTAATTATAGGAGCAAAGCACGGTCGTGATAAAACGTGAGATGCGTACGCAGGCTGACGCACGTGGGTAGCGTCTAGAAGCATCCAGCAGCATCCCAACGCCCCCTGTGCGATGCTACGCCGAGGCAGCCGTACGACCGCTTGTTCCTACCTTGCGCGACGTTGCTCCGTTTGCTCGATCGTGTTGTATCCATTTCGCATCCGCATCATAAAAAAATGTGTTTCCCTAATATACTCATCGTGTTATGGACAATTCGCATTCTAAAAACAACATGCGGCGTTATAAGAGAACATACTATTGTCTTCTCTGGATTGTGACGCTCAGCTTTCTCGTCCCTATGATCAGGCGTCTGGGTAGTGGCACGGTGTGGTGCCAAGATGTTAACTGCCTCGCCTGGTATACAGGAGGTCATGGGTTCGATCCCGACCCTGATGCCTGCTGTGTATTTGGAGTTTGCGGAATCTCTCTCTCTCCCCGTGGTCACATGGATTTTTCCCCAGGTCCTCCGGTTCTTCCACTCCACATTTAGAATCGACGTCGTGCGTTTAGAGTCTTTAGCTGCCGCTATAAATTTCCACGCGATGGGTTCATAGCGCAGCGCTGTGAAAATCGTCGCATCCGCTGAACGATATCATCACTCGCGCACTCGACCTCTGAGTTCAGCTCCCGGTGCGGTCGGCGTGAAACGTCGGACATCGGGCCGCACAGCACTTGGTGAGCTGTGCCCATTGCCCTTGCGAGGAACAGGATCAGGAGGATGAAGAGGAGGAGCAGGAGGAGGCGAGAGGCAGCGCAGGATGGAGACGGCGTAGAGCTGGCGGAACGGATCATTGTCGGCGAGGAGCTGGCGATCCACGTTACGGGAGAAGCGGTCGTGAACGTCACCATGGGAACCGTGGGCCCCGTGGCTAACGGGACAACGGCGGGCACCATCGCCACCCCGGGAACCCCGGGCGCCGTGGCCGTCGGGGCGAGGGCAGTGCCCACGCGCGTGGATGCGTCAACCTCCACGGACGACGTCGTGGCGCGAGGGGGCGACTCCTAGGGGGCCGCTGGGCAGGGAGGGGGGGAGAGGACCCCCGAGGCTACGGAGCCGCCTCGAGCTGTGCTGTGATCGGACCTCGCGGCTCAAAGAGTCGCCGATGCTCGGGGACGGAAGCAAGAGAGCGTGGCGCCCAAAGCGGCTGGATTTCTGAGAAATGATCGGGCCGAGCCAAACACCGGACTGAATCGCAATCACTGATGCACACGGAAGAGCCGATCGGCGTCCAAAGACAATTGATCGCTCATCTGATATCTGTTCTGCACCGGTGTCACCTCACTCTGCTCCCCGCGTGCACCTCGCTGGTCCCGCTCCGTCCCGCCGCACGGCATTCCCCCCTTCTCGTTTCACGACGTCCCCCCTCCCCTCCTCGCCAGCGGCTCGGCACCCAACACGGGGCGTGGTGGGGGGCGGAGAGCGGCGGCGGCGGCGGCGGCAAATCGTACGGCGCTCCGCCGCCACTGAGCTCCGGCTTACAGGATGGAACCTGGGTTAGACTCTGGAGCGGGGTGCGTTGTTGTCATTGTTGTCGTCGTTGTTGTTGTGGTGGTAGTGGTAGCGGTGAACTTGGATTGTCCCAGCCGTTGGCAGCCGCTGGTGACAGGGCCCCAAAAAATCCAGCAACATTGTCTGCGATTCCTGGCAGGAGTAGTGGTGGTTGGGTTTCTGCGTAAACGACTGTGACGTTGCCGTGCCACGATTCGTGCATGCTACTAGAGTCGTGCGTTGGGCTCGGAACTCCCCCGCGTCTACCCTAGCGACGGGGTTCTCGTCTACAAACGTCGTTCACCGGCTTTGGCTCAGGCGAGCCTGACTCACGAGGCACGCACGGCCGACGAGGAAGCCGCGTGTCGGGTGGAAATCGTCTCTGGAGATGCCCCCTGGGGTGCGTGTTGGGCGCTTTGCCAAACGCGAATCGTTGTTGTCATTGACTCGAGGTTGCCTCATGTCGTCACACCCGCTGTAGGTGTCCCTCAGGGGTCCGTCCTGCGTCCTTGGCCTTTCTCAATCGACATCTTTGCCTCATTGACGGTCACGGCATAAACCATGGGCATCAAACTGTCCAGGCTATCAGCTATTCAGCCAATCACCCGTCCAGCCTCTCACCCGTCCAGGCCCTCACCTGGTTCAGGCTCTCACCTGGTCCAGGCCCTCACCTGGATCAGGTTGGCATCTGAGAGACTTTGAGCTCTGGCTCTGCGTCTCTGATCCCTCGATCGAATGTTGGGGTCCCATCCGTGAAACACGTGCGTGTTGTTAAATGTGTCGATATTATTCCAAATGTCGTCTGCTTATTTATTACTTGACTTAAGTCGATCAACCTACGAGTCCCGAACTATGACCGCGTGTACGTAAACTTGGTCTTAGGCTCTCTGCCGTTCTTACTTTACTTAATGTTTAATATCATTATTATTACTGCCACTACTAATGCGTTGCAATTGTTAGAACACAAAGAGGCAATGCGGTACAGGTCGTGGAGAGTGTGGGGGGAATGGTCCACATCCCTGGCCACTCGTGAACAACCAGGAGTAGTGAACAAGCAAGGCGCTCTTCCCCCTCCAACCCAGCTTAAATAGACGCTCCAAGCCTGGGGTTGTTTCATTCAGACGCTGTCTTCTCGACAGACCTTTTCTTCACCTGAAGACGGCTGCGAGCGTTGTGGCCGAAACTTCGTGAGAATTATTTTATTATGTTGTTATTTTTATTATTTTATTATTTCCATTCTACGTGGCTTTACCGAAAGAACCAAGAAGATGAATGCCTGCAGTCACGAAAGCTTTAAAACAAAAGTCACCGTTGCCAATTGCTCTAGCGGCAGTAGCAGCAGCAGCAGGAGCAGCACCGCTCCCCTTCACGCTGAAAAGGCGGCAGGGCCTCTGTTGACCGAGCACCTTTGAGACCCCAGGGAGACGTTCCCTGCCTGGGGGGAGGTGGAGAGAGCGGTGGCGCAGCGGTTAGCGCGACGCTGCGCTCCGAACCCGGCGACACGAGTGCAGACACCCCGCTCGCGGCCAACAACCGGCGATGATTACTATCCAAACCGGTCTTGGGCCTCCCCTAGGTCGACTCGGCCTCAAATGAGTAGCTGGTGCGATCTGATCAAAAAAACATCGTCGCTGGGGAGACAAAGGCGGGTCGGGCGTGGTGCTGGCCACCTATCCCCCTCGTGTGCCGTGCCGGCCTTCGTAGGTGCTGCTCGCTACTAACGGCACTTGCCCCAACAGTCTGTCACAGGCTATACGGGTGATCTTTGTCTTTGCTGTTAATGTATGGCCTCTGCCAAAGGTATCTGAAAATCCCGTTCAACCCTTGCTCAGGACGAGATCTCCCACCTATTGTGAAGGGGGGGGGGGTGTTTGAAAAACACGAATATGTTTTACCCTTCCTGGCAATAACACAGGAGGTGTTAGGATGTTCAAACGCCGTTCTCTGGTCTGAGTTAGCTGCTCAACCCGAGCTGTGAATGCTCTGATTCGTGCGGCATTTCCCTTGTCCTGTTCGTCGTTTAGCTTCTCTCGTCTGACGCTGGTGAGACGAGGCCATCAATGCGGCTGCTGGCTCTGGTGTAGGCCAATCAGTTTCAAAGTCGATGCATTCCTTGTCATCAGAGCCGGTTTGTCTGCATGTCCACCACAAGGTCTGTGTGTGGGGAATGCAGACTTGACTTGATTCCTCGCCAAAGCTACAATCTAATTGCTGTTTGAACATCTTAACACAACTCGTGTTTAATTGCCCGAAAGTGTGGACGTCTGTTCTTATTTTTCTTCACACTTTGATACTTGGCCAAAACAAAATAAGAAACATGCCCTTTGAGAATGTGAATGTCAGCCAAGGCCAAGAGAGGGCTCCCATAACAACTCGCCGCTGACATCAGACCCCGAAACACGCCTCGAAGCCAAGCTCCACAAACTTGCGTTTCAGTGTTAATTCAAGCGAACCGCCTTCCAACTAAATCCAAGAGATATTTACGCGATCTAACCCCCCCCCCCAAAAAAAAACCCCGATATTGTTGATAATATTGGTCGCGAACGCCTGCGTGTTGAACTCAATCAAAGAGAGTCTTCAATGACTCAACACAACATCTGCGTGTGCGTGTGCGTGGTTTTTGTCCCCCCGCTGAAATCGACTTCTACTCGCTAGATTCGAAGCTTTCGTGACTGCAGGAATTACTCTTCTTACTCGACTTCTGCTTTCTGAGTTTCGTTTTTTTTTAAATAACCGGCGCGCGCTGCCGCGACCGTGCGACGCGCGTGGCTGGGTAATAAAAAAAAACAACGCGACACAAACGCACAAACGGAGCCGTGAGATCGTCGACGAAAGATGTGGAGACGGAAAAAAAAGCTGGAGGACTTCGAAGGGAATAAAGAATAAGAGAGCCCGCGGCGGAGAGACGGAGAGAGAGGAGGGATCCGCGGATTCGTTTTGGGTTTTTTTGTGTTCATGCAAACCGCCCCCCGGCTCGATCCCAGGGAGGAAACGGGGCGAGCTCGGCTCTTCCGAGCGCCAACAATAAAACGGCGCTGCTCCGACAACGCCGTTGTGCACCGGGGGGTTGGGACAAACGTGACACCGCCAATTACTCGACTGGTGGCACGCACACACCACGCACACCACACGCCCACGCACACCACACACACCACACACACACACACCACACACACCACGCACACACCACACACACCACGCACACCACACACACCACGCACACCACACACACCACACACACACACACACCACACACACCGCACACACCACACACATCGCACACACCACACACACCACACACACACCACACACACCACACACACACACCACACACACACCACACACACCGCACACACCACACACCGCACAACACACCGCACACTCCACACACACACCACACACACACCGCACACACTGCAACACTGCACACACTGCAACACCGCACACACCACACACACCGCACACACTGCAACACCGTCACACACCGCACACACCGCCCCCTGTACTGTGAAGCTCCTGCCAGCGGCCTGTGTCTGTGCAACACACACACCACACACACACACCACACACACACACCACACACCACACACACCACACCTCCGGCGAGCGGCCTGTGTCTGTGCAACACACACACCACACACACACACCACACACACACACCACACACACACACCACACACACACACCACACACACCACACCTCCGGCGAGCGGCCTGTGTCTGTGCAACACACCGACAGCGTCTTGCTCCGCTACAGCCTTGCCGCTATTTGAACGCCGCCAATTCTGCACGCGTGTACGTTGAACTTCTTTCGCGCCGTACGTAGCCAACCATGCTAATCGGAGGTACTGAGTAATTGTTATTACAGTATTGTCGTTAAGTTTATTTGTGTTTTGTTAGGAGACCAAGGTTGAGTCTCGTGTTTGCAAGCGTGACCCCAGGGCATGAGTCTGCTGCCGAGAGGGGCAAGCGACGATTCTGGCTGCCGCCGCTGCCGCTGCTGCCGCCGCTGCCGCCGCTGCTGCCGCTGTTGCTGTTGCCGCCGTTGCCGCCGCTGCCGCCGCTGCGGCTGCTGCGTGCAAGGACCCCCACCGAGTCGCCCTCCTGGCGACTCTCTCTGCGGGTCCGTCGACGATGGACGCGAGTCGCGAGCAGAGCGACGATTCTCGTGTTGGTCGCCAACTCGGCAAGCGCTCGCTCCGCTCACCGTCATCGGCGACTACAGCCCCGCTGGGTGGTGGGCGCGCGTGATTGGGCACTCCGAGGCATTTGGCGACATTCCGCATTGCCGTGGTGGGGAGGCTGCCCCGGCCGAGTGCCGGCGAGCGGCACCGCCGCGGCTCGCGACCCGCAGGTCACCGGCTCGACTCCCCCTCCCGGTGCGGCTGCGTGGACGCGGCGCCGTCCGCTGCGCCACCGCTCCACGACAACTTGCGGCCGCACTCGCGACGCGCGCAGCGTTTTGATTCCGCTATTTAAATGTTTTAACTAAACTCTATTCTTATTTTACCAGGTAAGGTCCCCGCTGAGCCATGTGGCTCTTTGTTCAGGAGCGACCTGGCGATCGCAAATGCCAGCTCAACAAAGTGGCTTCTCGTCACGTGATGAGCCAAATTCTATTAAACGCGTGACGTTGAGTCTAAATGTTAGAGGGGAGAAAAACCGGAGGGCCCGGAGAAAAATCCACGCGACCACCACGAGGAGAGATAGAGAGAGACGCCGCGAAACTCCAAACATAGAGCAGGCGTCGTCAGGGTCGACATTGCGGTTGCACGCCGCTCGCTCTCTAACACCGCGCGCACGGCACTTTGCCAATCCACTGCTGGATGAGGAGGGCCTCTGCACACCGCTGCGGCGGTGGTGTTATTAATTATTTGAACTTGCTTCGCAATGCCTGTCAAGTGTGGGTTGGTGAAGGCGCGGGAGCATAGAAGTGCAGTACAGTACGAGGGATATGCCAAAATGACATCCGCGTGTTTACTCCGCTGGGTTGAGTTACGCTTGGTTCGTTAATTTAAAAAACACACCCACACACACCCACACACCCACACACATCCACACACACCCACACACACCCACACATACACCCACACACACCCACACCCACACACCCACACACACCCACACACACCCACACAGACCCACACATACACACGCACCCACACACACCCACACCCACACACACCCACACACACCCAC